TTCACTAGATGTTACACCTAACAGTTCTAACAGCATCTCAGCTAAACATTAATAAAGCGCTACATTATTTGACTCTCAAGAGTATTTGCACTTACACAACTTTTATAAAGTCCTAACTGTTTCAAGTTTCATCATGCATTGTAAATGACAATCACAATATGAGAGTTATAAATCCTTCATTCCTAGGTTGCATGATTCCTTAGCTCAACTAAGGAACTTCCCTATCACTAATGTTAGCCAACCTCTGCAAAAATTGACTAACCTGCCAACTGCAGTGCAGGAAAAAGGAACGTCTACCATCATCAGGCTATAAGTACAGTAAATCTCATTCTCCTCATTGCAATTGATGAAAGATAATGGTTTACCAATGAAAACATTTTAAAATGTGAACCTTTAGATAGCCTAAAAGTCATACAACTGACAAGATATGACATTCATCACCAGTTATTCACAAGTTAAGAATGGAATCTTATGCATAATTTGGGTTCATGTTCACACATATTCATATCGTGATAATCAATCAGTAGTGACCAATGGAACCTAAGCCTATCGGTTGGTCTTCACTTCCTGTTTAAGAGGTTCTAGATTCCTAGTGAAATTGCTGCCAACTGACCAGGAAAAATTCTCAAGGTGAAGGATTAACCCTTCCGGAAAAAAAAAGTCGGAAGTTATTGAAATACAGTAATCTTAAGTACAAATTAAAAACAAAGGAAAAAAAAAATATTATAGTTACTCACAGTTCACGTAGCTGACTCAGATTTGCCAGTGATGGAGGAATGACTCCTGTTAACTGATTGTTCTGTAAATGCCTTTAAAAATAATGCCAATATAAGTGAAACTATCAACTAACTCGATGTACAGAAAAGGGAAAAAGAAAATATTAAAGATGTTGCTTACAATTTCTGAAGATTCTTTAATTTGCTTAGATCTGGAATTGGTCCTGTGAAATTATTATATGCAAAAGATCTGCAAATGGAATACTATAAGCTAGAGTTATTTCAAATAAAATGATATAAATTCAAATACCCACATATCAGTTAGTGCTGTCATCCTGGCAATAAGTGGTGACAGAGATCCAGCCAAACCCATACTTGAAAGATTCCTGTTACAAGCAATTTCTGGTTTGTCTCAATGAAATAGCATTGTCAAAATAACACGTTCATATTTAAAGCCCAACTCACAGAGCCACCACACGTATTTTGGATCCATTAGAGCAGGTAATGCCAGTCCATGAATATTGTTCAGGCATACAAGGATCTCCACTCCAATCAGATGGTGGACTAGCAATTTTCTTTTTTATATTCTCCAGGGCAATGACTGTAACAGAAGTGAGAACCAAATTAAAAAAGGTACTAAGAAAGAACTATTGTTAAGTTCTAAGAACATGAGGAAAGAGATCAGAAGACATACTATCTCTTGTATGTGTGACATTTCCAATTGAGAAAAGGCCAAAAACCTCTCCAGCACTTATTAATGGCGGAAGAGGAGATCCAGGAGCCAATGTAATGGTCGTTAGACCAGAGAGAAGCCATTGGGTTGAGAAAACAACAAGACCTGCTGATGTAACTGTTAAATTAGCATAGAATCTATAGTCATTTATGTAGACATCGAATGTCCTGGTGCTCCCTGGTAATGTATCAGCGAAATAAAGAGCAATGTAGTAGCTGGAACTTGGAAGTAAATTGGGAGGCCACTGTAAGACCAATGGTTTCGCTTTATCTGCTACTAGAGCAGTGTTGAAGATCGTTGCAGGTGGAAGATTCCAAAAATCAGATGATGATATATTATGGGTGCTCGTCATTGCATGTGCACTCCCAGAAAATGGCTGCCAATATCTATTGAATCTATCATCCGGATATCTATAATCACACAAAATTAGTTCATCAACAGACATAGCATGCAATCACATAGCCCAGACAGATAAAGAGAGTTCACAAGTACTTTAAGAAAATAAATCTTGGTGAAAGGAAATGGAGTATATGGTCTCTATTTAGATGATTATTTGTTAACCAGCAGCGACTTTAAATTGTGTCTTAAACTTAAATTATCAAGATAAAAGGTGGTTCTTCATAGACGGAATTCCCTTCAATTATTTGAACATGCTCTTGTGAAGATACAGGGTAAAGAGAAACTGTCTAAATGCCGAAGCAAATTAATGGATAGCAACAAAAACTTCCATCGGACCATTGTGGACATGAATCCCTATGGTACATCGGTTGCCAGCTTAATTTCAGTGAAACAATGATCTAATTGATGCAGAAACATAAATTCTTTTTAGATATTTTACAACATAATATGCCCATTCTGCAAGTTAAAATGCAAAGACTGCACATGAATACCAGTTAATTAAGGAATCATGACAAAGACTGTAGATTGCTGAAGACTAACTTACTAGACAACAGTTAATCATGTAACATGATTGCCAATATTAACACAATATTTGTTTTTATACATGTAATCCAAATGCTCTGATGATCCCAAGCTCAAAGATGAAATCAAAGACTAGGGTGAACATTAGCAAATCAACACTTTGGGCCATCTACCAGGATTACAATTCTAACAAGGTAAACATAAAAAATTTCAAGCGATTGGCTTATGTTCTTTGTCAAACTTCAAAACTTACAATGTAATGTTGATCTCCCTCAAGAACAAGTAAACAGTAAAAGCTACAAAAAGCATAAAACAGTTCGAATTTCAATCCATTTTGATAACGCATTTAATCATCAAAACTGCATGATGGGAAAGAAAAACAGAAAGGAGGAGTTCACTTAACCTGAGAGTCGATCCAATTGATCCAAAGGTGCTCCTCGCGATGAGGCCCATGGCATACTCGTCGAAGTTCGTCCCATTATACACCGAATCCTCCAACAAGATCATCTCCAGAGCGGAGATGAAGAGGTCGAAGGTCGTGTAGGTGTTCTCGGCAACGCACACGCTCATCGTCATCCCCTTGGCCCGGAAGACGCCCTCGTAGTAGGAGGCCACGCCGGCGGCGTAGTCAGCGGTCGTGTTCACGGTGGTCCAGAAGGTGCCGTCCACGATCTGGTCGAAGACAGGGGGCGTCCCGCTGCCGCCCGGGCTGTCGAAGTTGCCATAGAAGTAGGTGGTGCGGATGAGGTATCGGGCGCCGCGGACGGCCCGGAGGACGTAGCAGAACTTGCGGGGCTGGAGGAGGCCGGGGCGGACGGGGAAGGAGCGGAGGGTGGAGAGGACGGGAAGGAGGCCCGGGAGGGAGAGTTTGCGAGGAGATCCAGCGCTGACGAAGCGAGAGTCGGCCAACCATCTGAGGCCGTCGGGGGTGAAGAGGTCGTCGGTGGAGCCACAGTTGATAAGCAAGCCCTTGGGTTGCGGCGGGGATTGAGAGAGGGCGGGGACGACAAGGAGAGGGAAAAGGAACAGGAAGCGGAGGAGGAAAAGGGGCGGAGGTCTCTCCATCCTCTTACTTTGTCTTTCCGAAGAGGAGGTGGCCGACGACGATGAAGGCAAAGGTATAATTGAAAGGTGGGAGTAGGAATGACAGCAAGCAAAAGGACGATGACGAGTTCAATCTGTACAAGGACAAGGTCAAAGACGGGAAACCGGAGGGAGAAACGAAGGCAAGGACAAAATGGCTGAATCACCCATAAAACATTTCTCGGGTTTCCAAGTGCCTCCGAGTGGGTCTCATAGCCTGCGTTCCACGTCACACCGATCCACTTTAGTGGGTGACGAACCAACGACAGAGCAGCGTCGGACGCGAGATTTGGGTTTGACTCGGGTACATGGTGTCTTTATTCAAAGTGCGCAAGTTGTCTGTGGGTCCCAACCACACGGAGGCGGTGGGTAAAGGTCGAGGGTATCGGTCAAAAGGAAATCGTGAATCTTAACGCTACGCTAAAGACGCGTTTCAGATATTTTATTTTTATTAATGAAGTCTTTCTTATTTTTGTTTTATGATTTTGGATGCAATCTACAAACATATTGCAAGATCACATTTTTCTCATATCCATCAAGTTTTCCAAACATAGATTATATACTACATATTCTACTTTATTATATGATTTATCAGTCACATTTTGCCTGGTCAAAGCTTGATTTTTGTTGTAAGAGAAATTTATTATCAATGAATGATATAGCATATCAATTATATAAATATATTTGATGTTACATTGTGATTAGGTCAAATATACTTTTCATTATTATTTCAATGGCAACTTTTGCAAAGAAGATTCCTCTTTGTCAACTCCCCAATATTATATAAGAGAATAATCTAAGTAGGTGTTAATCATAAGACTATGTCCATCGTATGTATTTGAATTTGAATATGATCATTCAAAATCTATGCAGCATTAATACAATAATAATAATAAATTGTAAGTTTTAATTATTTGGAATGAGTTACAAAAATCTTTTGTTCGCTATTAAGATATGTAAAAAAATCATATGTTTAATTAAGTTAAGAATACTTAAATTTTTATTTATAATTTCTATTAAGATTATATATATATATATATATATATATATATATATATGAATATGAATTTAATTATTTCTATTCTAATGTACCAAATCTATAAAAAACAACCTACCCAAAAAATATTTTTATTAGATTAGTCATTCATGAGAGTGGAAGAATTGAGTTCATCAAAATAATTGGCTTATGGTCATTTATTGCTTTTACAAAATTTGCATGAATGGGGCCATTAACTTTCTTTAGGCCTACCACAAAAGTTTGGTAGACAAAAGATTCAGAAGGCATTCAATGGTTCGGTGATCTTGAGATGTCAAAATAAAATTAGAAGAGCCAAATAGGATGACACAAATAGTTCATAATAAAGAAGAAACATAATTACATATGAATAGTAATTCTATATAACATAATATCATTGTATTATATTATGTTTTGAATGTTGAATAAAAGAGAGCCCACCAAATTCAAATGCAATTTATACAGATAAAGTTGAACCTGCTGATGATGCAGTAAAAAAAAATTAACTATTGTTAGAGAAATGAAAAATATGTAAAGGCTTCACAAAAAATTCAACTGTAGTTAAAAACACAACATTAACAGTCAGTTCTGCAACCTGAAAAACCTCATGCACAACATATTCATGGGAAGTCAACAAATATGTAATCCTGTCCGTCCTCTTGGCTATGTAACAAGTTTTAGCAAAGAAAAAGAATCATTTGATGGTACCAATATGAGACCGCTAGATTACAGATTGCCTTCTGTTCTTGCACAAAACTCGCTGAGCTGTACCAAATCTTCCAACTAAATCTTTATCTCTCAAAAGTTGATTGTATATCATGGATCCTGGATTCATCACAGGCCTTGTTGGAGCTGGAGAGCCGACGATGACTCTTTTCTGAACGCTGAAGCATAGCTTGTTTGCAGAAGATTGTGCAGCATTTAAGTTCTTTGAAGTGGCAGGACTTGACATCAGTCGAAGCCTTTTCCGAGGAGAAGCAATACCAGGAATCCTTGATTTCCACAATGCTTGAACTAACGGTGGGCTCCTGTGCTTGCTATTTGATGCAAATGCACTGAACTTGCCTCTAACCTCTGGACTAGCTGCTTCAAGAGGTGTTGCCGTCAATGACATAAATGTGGACAATGAACTCCGTCGGTGTCTAAGCTGGGTTGTGCCAGTCATGTGATTCCACTGTCTTACTCCAGGCAATGTTTGTGATCTTTCTGTCACATCTGGAACAACAGCAATGGAAGCCCTCTTATTTTGCATTGGCACATTCCTGACCGAGGTTGCCAATGATATCCTCCGTGCTTTGTTCAGAGGCTTGACAAGATCTCTGCCAGAAGTTCTGTTTGCTATTAGATCATTCTCTTTATCAGCCGTTGAGTTTGTAATTTTAACTGTTTGAGGACCGGGCGGTGGTAACATGTTATTTATTCTTCGTAAAGGAGGCCTCTGCTTCAAAGGAGCCAGTGGGGGCTTTGAAAACTTTGCAGTATCCTTGTTAGCTTTCTTCTCATCTGCTAATTGGTTCTCCAGGTCTCTAACCTAATATTCATTTAAATCACCCTCAAGTCACAATCAAAATTGATGAAAATTAATTCAATGCAACAGGGGAATTTTGGTTCTTGTATCTTTAAAGGAAAATACAAGTGTGAAGTAAAATTATAGTATAACTTGTGAAGAGAATTTATCTCTAAAATAAAATTTTCTTTGGTCCAATTTCATTTAAGTACCTTCTGTTGGTAACTTCTGCATGATTGTTCAGCATCTCTGATCTGCAGATGATTAAAGAGGCTGTTACTAAACAAAATTGAAATCTAAAGAAAGCAAACAGTACTGGAAAAGAACAGGCAATTGGGGTTGCCTAGTAGTGTTTGGGTCTGCTTGAGATTTACATTAAATGGTTTCAATCTACTAACAGTCTTGTCAGTCGGTGCCAAAGATAACATGATTAACCTGTCTTCCTCATTATTTTACCCAATAAAACCCAGTAGACTAGTGATACGATTAGACCCATTCCAAACACAATATAATGGATATTGCAACCTTAAAATAATAAATTAGCACATTTGACTCGATCATTAGTTGATCAATTCACATCAGTCAGGTTAACAAATTAAATGCGAACCAAACCATTTATTAATTTAATTAATAGCTGGAACATTTTTATGACCCTAACCTCTATGTGCCTAAATAGGACTCACTAGTTTTGTTTTGGTTTCAGTTCCGATTGGTGGGTCAGATAAGAATTGCCAGCCATAAGAGCCAAAGGGCAATGAATTGAGTCAATCGATCGATTTAGCCTTATATGAAAATGAGGGTTTCAAAATTTTGCAGCTGCAATAGATGTTTCTTTTGGCATTAAGGAGTAGTTAGTTCTTTATGAAGATCAAAAAACAATTATACTAAACCTTTAATTAAATCTGACATTACTAATTACCTTTTCTTGAAGTGCCTTATAGACATTCTCCCGAGATGCATACTTGAGATGCATCAATTGCAAACTCTCATTCAACTTCGCAATTTCCTTTTCTTCCTGAAGGAGCTTCTCAGCCTGTAGATAACTCAAATTAGATAACTTTTAACTTGAAAAAAAACACAATCTCCCCTTCATAACAAAATAAAACAACAATAAAAAAATTATAACAGTCTTGTCTTTTTACGGATGGTACCATTTGTTTAAGCTTGAAACTTTCAGACGGATCTGTCAGTTTACGGACTGGACCATTTTCAATGCCCCTGACTCGGCTAGCAAAATTTAATGAGCATACAGTTTCTCCTAAATCTGCTGAACTTGGGCTGATCTGTGCGAACATAAGGGTCTTGCAATCCCCGCCTATTGAAAATTCACCATTTAGTCAAGAAGTAACACTTTTTCCTAAACAATGAAAAGTAACCAAATATTTTCAAAAGCAATGATTGGCATGTAATATGAATAGTACAATCCGTTAATTATAACTACTGAAAAAATGACATAAAGACTGTGTCATGAGTATTCGCACCTAAAGAGCTTTGGAGCAAATGAGTTAGCTTTGAGTTCCTGCATGTTATCTTTTTGGTTAGCAAAAGGAGAAGAGATCAACAGCAACACAAGTTTGTGGAAATAAGAGAACCTGTATGGAATGTGGGGGTTCTTCGAGGCAAGAGAAGAGATGACATCTCCTAGAGCTGACAAGGATTTATTTATGAATTGTGACTCCCTCAACCTCTCTCCCTCCACCTCAATCTTCGCAACACGCTCACTACCAGCTAAATCTACCAACCACAATTTGCTCCTGTTCTTCTGGCCATCCACAAAATTTTCACTCTTGATAGTTACCCTGACCAAGCTGTGAAAAGTTCTAATGTAAGCACACCGAAACAAAATTTTAGATATATTTAACAAGTAAAACAAGTGAGACAATATCTTCCTATGGATGACCATTTTAGACCAAATCCAAAATATCATTAGCATCACCTGTGAAGAAGGAAATTATGAATAGAACATTACCTGTGAGAACGGCTACTCAGCTCGTTAGCACTTGTTGACCCAACTGATCTGTTTCTTCCACCATTTTTAAGAATTTCCCAAACCTCATCTACACTGCAGACTTGTGCTTCAACTAGTCCAGGCACATCTTGTGTTCCATCAGCTGCTTGCTTTATATCCAATCTTCAAGCAAACAACCAAATTAAACAAAATTAAACTATTGTTTGTTCATCGATTGTCGAGAATCACTTCAAGGAGAGTCCTACCTCTTCAAAAGTTGATCTGAGGTACCTGCAAGAAGGTCTCTAATTTTCTCATTATAGACCTCCAACATGCTGAAATAGAACTCATATCTTGTTATCGAGCTTCTCTGATCAGAAATTCTGAACAGTTCTTCTAAAGCTCTGTAGTTAACGCCCCGGTTTTCTGGGGTCCCTTCCATCGTGAAGGTCTTCCCTGCTCCAGTCTGTCCATAGGCGAAAATACAAACATTGTAGCCATCGAGGACCGATTTCACAATCGGCAACGTCTCCGTAAATACTGCATCTGAAATCACCAGATTATCAATCATTACTCTGAGCTCCAAATTAACATTTTCAACCCAAAAAACAGGAAGATTTTGATCTCAAGAGAAGCCCTAGTTTTCTGTATTTAGTTTAATCTACAAGCTGACGGACTGTTCGGAGCAACGTTTTCTCTCTCGTTGTGCTTTGTGAAAACAACAAACATCGAAAATGCAGCTACACAACCAACCAATTTATGCTATACACACAAAGATATACAAGAATCATCACCTTGGTCGTCTTTTGGTCCGAAAACGTGATCAAACTTGAATTGCTTCTTGGACGAGTCGGAGCAGGTGATCTGCAGTTCCATGTCCTGTGCCGGGTCGAAGTCCACCACGCAGGAATAACCCTTGGCGACCTCTTCCAAGCTCAGCGGTCTGCACCTGCAGAACACCCTGATGTTGCCCTTCAGCTCTATTATCTCATTGTACAGCCGCTTCCTCTCCTCGCGTTCGTCCGTGTACTTCTTCTTCAAGATCTCATATCTAGGCGTGCACACCTCGGAGCATTTCTTCCGCAGTACTTCACAGTCGCTCCTTAGCGCCTGGTGAGACTTCACCAGATTATTGTACTTGCTGCCTGTGTATGTGGAAATGGAACCACTTCGCATCGATCAGCCGAGAGTGGCAACAGCAGTCTAGGCCGAGTATTACAGGAAAACAAACGATTACCTAGAAGAAGAAGCGTAGACGAGAGATCAGGGCCGGGAACCGCCTTAAGGATCGGAGATGTAACGAAGCAATCATCATCAAGAGCCTGAAAGGATCGAAAAGAAAAAGCTGAGAAGGCGGATCGAAGAATAAGACGGGGGAAGCGTTTAACTGGAACAGGAGGAGATTCATCACCTCTATGATGTTAGTAGATCCTTGTTCCGTGGTTACCTGCGCTTCCTCCGCTGGCGCTTCCACCGGCGGGAGAGAAGAGGAAGGCGTCACGGCAGCTTCTTCTTCCATTGTTGTGATTCTCGTTGTTGCCTCTCTCTATCTCGCTCGCTCGCTCGCTCTCGAGATAGAGATCGGAAGAATGGCGTCGCAGACTTCCAACGGTTCTCAGAGATCGGTGTGAGGAGCGTGTCCATATATTGCTTGCCGTTTCAAAATTTGAATCGCTGGCTACTACGAACCGTTGGATACGCAAAACGGATCAACGGTCAAGATCTGCTCCTCCTACGAAACCACATTGTCGCCCCAATTCACATGGAAACCACGTGAAAGAGAAAAAAAAGGCATATATAACTTTTTGGTGGGGTCAATGAATTCTTTCCACTTGTAGAATTTGTCACTATCCATCATATTACTAAGCAAAATAGTGTTTGTCTATGAGAGATATCGATAGTATTTCACATATCATTTGCTTCCATTTATGTGCAAACATGAGAACACTTCACATTCTCTACTTCGAATATTTTCCAAGTGTCTGTAAATGTAGAGAAAATGATAATCTAAAAGATCATTTCTGTCACATATCTCTCATAAGGATCTTTACATCAAAGAAGAACTCATCAAATTTGGATGCTGTAGAACTATATAGATAGATAAATTAATGGATGGACACAAAATTCAACCAATCTATCCACAGATTCCCCCTCCTATAACAAATCGGTAATGAACCAAAGAATTGCACCATGCTAGTCCTTCACTCGCTGTTGGCTAAAACCTTTCCTGTAGTCCACAGACATGGTGTGTGCTTGAGCAAGAAGCTTGGTGAACCTTTTGACGTTGACTCTCACGTTTTGCTTGTCCAGGTAGATCTTCTTCATCTCCATCCACCCTTTGCTGGTGATGACGCTCGTGTTCAACAGCACCGGACTCTGCCGGTCATACACCTTGGCCAGCGAGCTCTCCTCCGGTGTTATGTTGTAGGCCATGTACTCCAAGCCAAGCCTCCGGGCGGGCCCTCCGTAGAACTCCTCCGCCGGCTTCTCCAGCCCCAGCGGCACGATCTGAATGAGGACGGCGGCAGGGCGCATGAAGAGGAAGTGCGTCATGGCGGCGCCGTGGACGGCCAGCATCACGTCCGCGGGCGCCAGCGCGCGGTAGATCACGTCCAGCGGCGTGGAGCGCTTTGGCTCGATGAGCTGCACGTCGAACCCGATCCTTTGGCACGCCCTCACCACCTCCCGCAGGTTCAGCAGCACTCTGCAGCCCTTGCGCACGAAGATGGCGATCCTCGGACGGTGGTTGCTGCTGCCGTGCTGCTGGCTGTGGTCGTGCCGCGACGATCGCAGCAGTGGGCGCAGAAACGGAGGCGTCTCCGGCGGCACTGTCCTGGGCTGGACGACGCTGCTGTATCCTTCACGGAGGAGTCCTTGGAAGTCCTGAATGCTATTACCTGTCATCGTCATTAACTGCTTCCATCAAGCGGAGAAAACAATTCGTGTTCTTGTGAAGGTCGTGAGACAGCTTGGGCAGAGTTGGCACTGCGAGCCGCACCTTATTCGCCTGCCCCAACCTATCGACACGTGGGTCCCAGTTGCGAGGCGGTTTAAATACCTCAGAAAGACCGTCCAGCGGACAGCGGGACCCAAGACGCGTAAAATCAAAGGACAAAATTATCTCAGCATCTTTGGGCAGGACGACAAACTTTATGAGTGTTAGTTCACCGGTTTGCTTTGGCATACCTACCAACCCATGCGCGCTACAAATCGTGCAATATGATCATGATGATGGATGGACCCAGCGGCGCATGAGCGCATGAGAACCATAAAAGGATGCGACATTCATTGCCTATTTGGACAGCATAAAAGGTGAATTGAATCAGGCGTGAGCCCCAAATCGGTGGATTGCAAGTCGATTTCCATTCAATTGGCTACCGACAGGGATGTCAATTCGAGTGATGGCTGAGTCAGTAGGAATCCATTAGCTAACGACTAATGGACTCCACATCGACTAATGGCTCTGCCATGGGAGATGAACGATGGCACATTGGCCGCCAGCTTTGGGTAGCTGCGTTCCTTCTACGTCTGTCTAACTGAGGCTACCGCTCTCGGTGGCCTCCACCGACTGTTGGTGGGCACGAGATCACGTGCCGGAACGACAGTTGGTGTGGCCCTGTCGGTGCCATTGAACTACGCGGTCGCCTCGGGCGCCGTGTGCAGGTGCCGTCGGAGACACGCGGAAGAATATTCCGTCGTCGTCTTCTTCTCTGTATGCGAAGCATCGCGAGAGAACGAACGGGACGACGAGGGGTCAAAAGTGTTCTACTCGTGCGGGGATCATGTTAGCTTACCGTTCGGCATGAGCCAGGGGTCGATGATGAGCTCGCCGTGGATCCGCAAGCCGACGATCATCTCCGAGAAGCAATGGACCCGGGTGTCCCTGCTGAAGTCCACCAGCTCGTAGTTGGTCAGCCGCTGCAGCACCGGGCCGTAGCGGGCCAACCACCAGGGGCGGTACTCCGCCACCACGAGCACCACCTCCCCCTTGAACCGCTCCGCCGTCACGTAGAGCGGGACCAGCCCGTCGCTGAACTCGTGGTACAGGTTCCCGGTGTAGCCGCCGTTGGAGAGGAGCAGCCCCGGCACGCCCTCGTGCCGCACGTCGCAGGCCCGGGTTTGGCTGCCGTTGATGGCGGCGGACGGCATGGGCCGGATGGAGATCTCCTGGATCGTGCGGGTGATCTCTGTGTCCCACTTCCTCGTGTAGGGCCGAATCTTCTCCTCCGTCGCCGGCGCCGCCGACTTCCCGTCTGCTGCTCCGTACACCAGGATGGACGATGACCGAGAGTCGGTACGGACGTCCCCCCTCGCGTAGCAAAGGTCGCTCCGGACGTGGCTCCGGTCGCAGCACACCAGCGCCCCGTCTCTGTTCGCGGCCGCCGCTCCCTCCGTTCGACCTGCCACAGTGGGTTCAGGAATCGATAGAGGAACGACTTAACCCTGCGTGGGTGTCGATCATTACCGTCGATGCGAGCGGAACACGGGAGCGGCGGATCGCCCGGGTTCTCCTCATGGACCTGCAGGTGGTTGGTCTCCGATGCGATATGGGTCCTCAAGGATTCCACGTCTTGCCGTGGTTCTGCAGAAACTGAACACCCGAAAATTGGGGTTAGAATTGGAGAAGAAGAAGAAGAAGAAGCAGAAGCAGTAGTAGTAATTCTTACATGAAGAAGCAGCAGACGGCTGCACAAAGGAGGAAGGGAACGGGGAGGACAGAGCCAGCCGAAGAACGGAGCCGACGGCATACAGGGTCAGGAGGAGCAACGGGAAGGCACGGTGAAGGAAGCCGCTCTTCCTTTCCTTCTCGACGACCACCAGGTGCGATACTTGCGCCGGCGTCGGGAGCGCCGATGCGTTCCTCTGCTGACGATTCATCCTGCGCCTCTCACCGATCAGGCGGCGGCGACGGCTGCCTATCGATCATCTCGCAGTCTCCACATCAAGAAGCTTCCAAGGAAGAAGAAGAAAAAGCGATTGAAGGGCAGATGAAGGCGGAGGGATAGATAGATAGATAGATAGATAGATAGGTGGCTTCCGAGGCAACTTCGAGGTCACAAGAATCGATGACGAACTGACACAAGACGATGAAATCAACTGTTTACCTACCAATAATGACGCAGGTCAACAGATGAACCTTTCTCGACCGCTTTACATCGATGCCATGCGGTAAAAATGGCTGCTTCATGTGACAAGAAGTGATCTGGAAACGGTCAAAAGCGAAATGTTCTGCCTTGGTAAGAGCTACAGATATAATATGTGCATAAAGAGAATGATTAGTGAAAACTTAGGAATCACGCAACCGAGGGAGAGCGCATGTGATCCAACGAAAGAATCCAAGGGAGAGGCGCCCGAAAGGGAGTGCCAGTGCATGGAGCAGGCAGTTGGCTGGAGGTCGTTGTACACGCTATCGACCTAATACCATATAATACGAATTATTGGCGGTAGGTCAGAAGGGATGGCTTTTTTTTTATCCGGATGAACATAAACCACACCTTATCCTATCAAAATAAATGAACAGCTACAAGCTGATGATGTTAACGTTAGCTTACTTGAGTTCTTCAATGATTGAGGATTTTGGGAGCTAAGTTAACTGACATTTTCGAAGAATTTACCAGTAGGGTTTTGAACCCTAAATGAATTGTAATGAGTTTGAGAAACCCTAATTGTATATGTTGCATCTCCTCAAGCATATAAGATAAAACTTATGATGAACTTATATGTGAATTAAGAAGCGTTCCCACATCATTCTACAACAGATTGCCATACCCTTTCACATACCAGAATGAAACCAGATTAAGATTTGCTCCACCATAATTGTGCATGTACCATTTCTAAATGATGGTATGGTGATGACACACTTTTGCAGGCAACACACATTTGTTGGAATATCTTGATACATAGATGGAAGATTTAGGTTTCATGTTCGTAGGATTCAAAATCATCCTCACTCGGGCCTATGAAGATTGTGCAAAATGTACAAGGATGCTGATGACAAGAATATGCATATCGAGTAACTTAGAAGATCCTGGCCCGTAGCTATGGTTACCATTTTGCTCCTTTCGAACATCTTCACCAGAAGAATCATGACTATGACATGCCCAACCTTTGTTTTCAACTCGTCAAGTGAACTGATCTGCATCCACTTCGGACGCTCCTGCATGAAAAAAATGGAATCGAATTATCGTCTCTCTTTGTTTAGCAGCAGCTCGAGTATTGGCATTTGGAACATGCTGTTTCATTTAGGCGTAGACTCATATTAGACTCACTCGAAGCGGACCAGAATTTCTAAAGTGGAGTCCTCGGATCAAGCTCTAATCAGTAAATTAACAGATTGACCACCAAAACAAACATGTAATCTACAGTCTACAGTAGTGGAAAATTCATGTAAGAGAAGCAACATTATCTGACTGACAAAGCATGACAATGTCATAGCCTGCTCAACAACAATCAGCAAGTTTATGGTGACAGAAGAATCGATACCATCTATTCTGAAAAGTACATTCAAGAACTATAAAATAAAAAATGAACTTTTCTAGTAAGCTAAAGGAAGCAATTCACCTAGTAAGACAATTCTGAGTACTGGGACTAGGAAGTGAAATTGTATAATGCATGTTGACGAATATGTCTCAGTTCAGATAAAAGGGCAAGGTTACTGGTGACTTAGCAAGACAGAAAATTAGTTGTAAAGCAGATCAAAAACCACTAAAGTGGACAGAATGGGGCATTCAAAAAATTAGTTTTAGATTAATTAGGATGGGAATATTTTAGTACCTTTAGAGCAAACATCCCAAACAAAGAAGATCCCTTTAGAGCACGATCAATACCAGAAGGTATTCCAGGGGGTACGTTGCTGATAAAAAGTCCATATAAACCCATACCAAATATCAACATGACAGTTCCAGCTAGGTAGACATCTGCGGCAAATGTATAAATGCCATTACAACTTCCAAAAGGGAAATAATAGCAAGCAAGCACTAGTCATGGAATGCTGGAATATGTCTCAGACTAATACATGGCAAAATGTCCAAGTTAATCAAATTTGTTCATAAATGATGAAGTTCAGATCAAAGTTCTCAAACAAGAATGAGACTTGCATTTTCTAGTTCAGAAACCCAGAAATAAACTTCACATGCTTTAAGATTCACAAAAATAAAAAAGAAACTTGTGCCTTCTAGCCAGGAATACAAGTTCAGTTTAGCATCATGATGTCTATTTATATTTGTCTACTCACTTACCATGGTCATAATGGCCATTAAAAAATCTTGGCAAGGACAGAGCTGGTCAAAAGGGCCCACATGGTCAGAAATTAGGATGAGGGCTATGAATATATGATCCACTTTGAGTAGCTAGACCAAATCAATTCACTACCTTACATGAAAGTCTGTTACACTCTCCAGATGAAACAACTTGCGGGCTATACCATGGTTAAAAAATTAGCCTATTATGACCCTGTGAACAAATGAAGGCCTTTCTCTGTCTTTCCAAAAGACCTGATGTTTTCACCCCAACAATTTCCATGTAGTAACAGTAGTGCAAATATTCAATTTACTGGTTATATCTACTAAATTTATTGAAGTAGCGAAGAAGTATCACCAACTCAAAACTGTTACACCATGAATTTAGATGGCAAATCACAAAGTTCTGTTGGTAATATCTACAATATAGTTAGTGCAACCTTCATTATTAAATATAGAATAATGCGGGCTGTAAATTGCTGTTAAAAGGATTGCTGCTAGAATTAGTAGTTGGACTGGGAAATCCCTCCCTTATGCAGGGATTTTATAACTGAAAATAAATTCTCTTCTGCTAGGAGGTTTACTGAAGCAGCAACTTGGTTCTTCTAAAAAGAGTCGGCAAATAGACTGAGGCCATATGTAATATGTAGACAATTCTATGGGGCAATATCGGTGTAGTTACTGCCTTACTGGAACTAAATGTCTTATATAAAGGGAATCCTGGGTGTCAGATATATCATATATGTTAATATGAAATAAAGCAGTCATCATGAGATATCTTTGGCTGGTGCTGGCTAAGACTGAATCTTTGTGGGTGAAAAAGGTTCATGAAATGAAGCTAAGAAATAGATATATGTGAAGCCTTAGGCCTCCATATGAGTGCAGATGGAAATGGACTCTTAAATTTGAGGGATCCATTTAGAGAGATTGGATATGATGATTGTGATGAAAGGAAAATATTCTTTTGGCATGTTAAATGCCTGCCGAGTTTTCTGTGGCAATATTTTTTTGGATCTTTTCTCAATGTGGTTTCATCTTATGTGTTCCAGAAGAAACAAAGCTATCAAATAACTAAAAAAGTTGCTAATTGACAGAGATAAAACCTAAATTTCTGTTAAACATGTAGAAATCCTTACCAATTGCCTCAACTAATCGGAGTACCATCTGGCCAGTATGAACCCCTTTAACACAGCTTGACCAGTATACTTTGTAGGCATCAACTATGTAAACACAACCCTGCAGAAGGGGAAAAAGATATTCAGCCAAATCAAAACCCTAATTAAGGGAGTAATGCTACTCAAAGGACTATGAAGGGCACACAGATATTTAATAAGACCTAAAACAACATAACTATCAAAACTAACCAATTCAAATAGAAAAAAGCACATCATGAATTTTTGTTCAATGCTAGAATAATGACAATCAATTTAGCAAAGAGAGGGCTTCCAAGAAATCCATAAATATCAGTTTCTAAGAAGGCAAAGCTTGGAGTTGAGGACATGAAAGGAAAAAGCGAACAAGAGGAAGCTGCTTTATAGAGTCAACACAATAATTTCAGATCTATGTCCTGGATAGAAAATCTTATGGTTAATAATACATCAATTCACCAAGACTAGATCAACTACTATCTCATAGTTCTTAATTGAAGATTGGCAAGCCTCATCAAGATTATGAATTCAAGTACTTTATTTTACTCATTGCATTGAAGACAAGCAAGGCCTATGAACTTATTTCATCCAAGGATCACAGAGAAGTTAAAGAGAAAAGGAAGAAAGAAAGCAACTAGACAAGTACAGTCAGCAGTTGGATGTCCAAGACAAAATAGGGATAAAAAAGAAAGAAAGAAAAAGAGCAAATGAGCCTGGTGGTGAAGAAAGAGGGAATCATGTAGTGAAGAGGAGAAAAAGAGTGTGGCGCTTACTAACATGAGGCAATAGGCTTAGCATTACTGTGGCTCAGTACTGGTTGCAATATGGGCAGCACATCCAATATGGTAAGTGTACCATGCAGTATGCGTGGTATGATATTGGACCAGGTGAAATTGACTGATACGAATGTCTGCCTGTAAATAAATCACTAAATACCAGTGGCACATATCAGTTCAAAAGAAAGTGTGATCCTTGGGTCCAAACCTCGAGTGGTGAACCTTGGTGATGAACTCTTGGCCTAAGAATGAGAGGTGTAAAGTTCCATCGAAGTCTTGGCAGCAGGTGGTATCAAGAAATATTCAGATCTAGTCCTATTTGTTTGATATTAAGGTGATTTTGGCATGAAAGATTATTCCCATAAGTAAGAGTTAGGTATGATTTTCCCTCAATCCAAACCCCAGTGAACCATTATCAACCAAATAAGGGTTGTAGTAAAATCCCATTGAAGCTTTATCAGTGAGTGGTGTCTGGGAGACTTTAGTTGCTAGTAGCATGTACCGTATGTCAGTATTGCTGGAACAGACCAAACCCATATTGATCTAGCATGGATATGCATGGCTCAAGTACCTAAAATTGCAAACCTTGGTGCTTGGATAACTTATGTAGTTTGTATAGCATACTATTTTATAAACAATTTATATTTTTTTTTCTAAGTTGTACGCATTGGATGTAGTCGATTCCAAGTAATCAATTCCAATATTTCAAGGTGATGATCTAGCTCTAAAGATATCATGAGTATGAAGTTGAGGAAGATTTTGGTATCATGCAATGATTAAAAATATATCATTGAGATGTATTCGAGACCAAATCTTCATGTCAAGAGTTATCATTAAGTAGATAGAGTTCATAGTGGAATTTTGGTGATTGTATGAAGTACAAACTCTATCTTGTTTTGGTGCATTTCGTATTTTGTGAGATTTGTTGATTCTACTTGTGCACATTTAACATGTCTTTTGATAGAGGGACTCCGATGCTACTTCAATTTATCCTCAAACCAAGGGCCACTTCGCCTTACTTTGATTGACAAGCAAACTGAATGGAAAAAACATCTGTTTTGTTCCCTTTCTTTATCCATTGATTTATAATTTCATAGTTTATTTATCTTCATTTCTCATATGATGTATCCTATTAGCAAATGTTTAGATCATTATAAACAGTATGATCATGAATTAAACAGCCTATTAATTTTGCATCCTCTATATTGTTTCTTTTTATGTCAAGTTGACATAAAAAGATTAAAAGGAACAACATTAATTGTGAACAAAGAGATTTGTGGCAGTCTCTGACAAAACAATTAATGTGATGATATTTGTATTATCTAGTAATTATACCATCAATAGGAATAGTTTATTACAAGCTCTTCTTACTGCTATTGTTGTTTTAGTAATTTATTTAATTTATACAGCTATTACATGATACAGTTTACATCAGTGATCCAAATATCTAGAGTTTTTCTAAAAGAAAAAGACCACATTTTAAGATTTTCCCAGGAGAATGGATTTAGCTTGGAAGAACTTACATTCAAAAAGCATAGTACTGAGCCAGCAAGTGAACCTCCAACAGCTAGTAAGGCCAAGAAGCGGAAATCAAAAATCACCTGAATATTAAATCCACAAAACTGAGTACAAATAACTCGTAGTAAAAATCTCTTAACCATCTATAAGTTGAATACAGATATCATAACAGCAGCATATTTAAAAAAATAAAAAATAAAAAATAAAAATATCATTAATATATAAATCAAAACTATATACAAACAGAATAGTATACACGACCTATATTGCACAAGCATCACATAATATAATTACAATTACAATAACTTTCGAACTTTTCAAATAGGATTCAAACTCAAAATAAGACAAATTGGTTTAAGCGCTTCTACGTTTTGTCTGTGTTTTGCATTTTAAACAATCAGTTCTCAAAGATATACCAGAGAGGTGGCTCCGAAAGGGCTGACCAGCAGTAGTAGAGGGTTCTACATCATAGATTTATAGGATATTTGGGTCTTATAAATATACAATAAGAATCTAAGGATTTAGCATTAATAGTGTATAAATAATGATATCGTAAGTATAAAAAAAATTGACTGGGCTTATTTAACTTTCATTTTGGCATAAAAAGGTACTTTTTACTCCCATACTCTTATTTTCTTCTCCTATCTTCCTAATTCTCTGCTTGGAGTCTTCTATAACACCTAATAGTAGGTTATCATCCTATCATAATAATGGAGTGGATAAAGCAAAATGATGAGGAACAGAGAAACATAGGAAAAAATGCATAAAGAGAACAGATAAATTGAGTGAACCAGCCAGGAAAACATTTTACATTTTCATTGCTCAAGATTATTTTACAAGACACTTCTACCCACTAAACAAGCATCTTTGTAGCATTTGTTCAATCAGAATTCGAATCATCAACTTGAAGGTAATGTCCCTTCTATAGGAAATATGAAAAATCTTACAATGTTAACGCATCCAAAGATGAATTGATAGACCAAAATTTAACAGAAAGCAACATTTCTAATGTCTTGTGAAGATCTTAAGGTTTCTGAACCCAAGATCACTAGAATTTTAATTGAACCAAACGTCTTAAACCTCAAAGATGCATTCCAGATAATACCAAAGGAATCTGTTTGGGCTATTCTTCAATATTTCATTCCCAACATTCCTTATTAATTGAACCATAAATTCCATGCTTTTGTGATGAAGTTTAATACAATCAGAGGTCCGAAAGAGGTGCTTGACTAATCCTGCCTCAGAAATTAGAAAGTTCTAGCATATTTTTACTGCAGTAATTTCCCACTTTCCTGATCTAGATGCATGTATTAATCTTTCAAGCCACAATAAAGAACATCCTAGTCATTAGTGCTGAGCTAATTGATCTGACATATTCCAGATGCTAAGTTGATGTTGAGCTTTTTAATGGGCTATTCATGCAAGGTCAAAGATACATAGAATATATTCTAGTCAAACAGCTATTATATCATGTACAGTATGGGATCATCAACAAACACGAAAGATCATATTATAGTGTAAAAGAAAAATCTTTGAATTTGGTACAGAGAGCTAGAATATCATTTAACCAATTTTTTTCTGAATATTAATTCCTTTACCTTAATCCTATAACAGTCTCTGAAACTTATAATACCTTCTGCTAGTGATGAGGAGATCAAAAAATTAAATATCCAGAGTTATCTCGAAGGACCAAAGTACTTTTTTTTTTTTTTCTGAATCACCTGCTCAAGAGTTGTCCAGCATATGTTTTCAAATTCTATCCACTCCAGACCGGAAAGAATCAGTTTAACTACATAGTTAGCAACATTGAGTTCTTACCAATGCCTCAAAAAGCCTTTTACTGTCTGCAAACTTCAGCAGCCAATTCAGGAATTCCTTCACAGGATCATTTACAACATAACAAAAGCAATCACATCAATTTATCTCAAACTTTTCAACCACATATTTTATATGGAAGGCTAGAATTACTAGTCCACTTACTTATTAAATAGGACAACTACAGAGAAGAGGTGTAGGATCTTCTAGGTAAAGACCAAAAATTGAAGGTAGCAGGGCAAGGGTGAGTAAAAGATACTTATGAGAGGCAAATGACAGCACCATGGTAACAGAAATCCATAGGTTTTCTATGAAAGAATCCCGCGTATTTCCTTTCAAATGTCTGAAATCAATTATTTTTTCCTTCAAATCCACTCATCAGACATCCCTTGCTATTTCAGGAGCCATTTAGCAATTGCTACACATCAACTTCTGCATCCACTAAGTTTCCCTAACTGTCTCAGGCGCCGTTTAGCAATTGCCACACACCCAATTCCGCATCCACGGCGTTCCCCACAACTATCGATCGATTAGAAATACTGGAGACACTATGGTTTCACAGTCACCAGCATAAGAGGAACTTGTGTGCTGATTATTCTTCCTCCTCCATCACTCCAAACGAATTATTTCTTACGAGGTCCAAAAATCTTGGCACCAACCGAGCAGATATACCAGCAGTAGCAGTGCAGGAAAAGGAGACCGAGTAAGCTGAGAAGAGTCGATCACCCTTTCGATCGTGGACTCGCTGGCCGGCGCGATACGGACGACAACATTACCACCGGGATCGGCGGCGATCTTGGTGATGCTTTCGCCGTGAGACTTCGAGTGAGTCGAAGAGGGCGAGGCGGAGGAGGAGGACGAGGAGCCGAGGCAACAGACGTGGCTCGCCCGACGAAGACGGAGCGCAAAGTTCCTGCGAACTGCGGGGACGGGAGTCGCTGGCGAGGCGATGGACATGGCAAGGACGGTGGCGGCCATTTCGACAAGCGAGTGGTGGACGGACGGCTGGCAAGAAGCAGTGATTGATTGGCGTGTTAATATCGAGGTGGTTTGGAGAGATGATATAGACGTACATAAATCCCTCCCCCGTCGCCTTCATGTGTGCTTAGTGTTCTCCATCCAAATGGTGGCCACCGTTCGCTCTCGGCTCCGAAATCTCGATCGACGTCGGATCTACGTTAGTCGTGAA